ATAAAATACAAAATAGGGCTGGGGATGTGGCCCAGCGCCTTTGAGTTAAATCCCTGATACCCCCGCAAAAAAAAAAAAAAAAAAGACTAATATTGTTGAAATTAATATCTACAACATTTGTCCCTGTTTTATATATTACAGTTGATCTTTGTCCCTATTTATCTTCTATACTTTTTTCTGCATTTTCTGGTTTAAAAATGGTTTCTTCACTGCTGGGGATCAAACCTAAGGTCTTATACATGTTATACAAATGCTCTATCACTGGGCTACTTATTTTGTGGTTTTGAGTATTTTCTATTACTCCACTTTGTCTCCTTGTCACCATATTCATTATACTTGTCTTGTAATTTTGTTTTTAATTGGTTTTCTATCTACACTTACAACTAATCCAAGTGTGCCTTCAAATAACATTATACTCAAAACCCTGACCAGTCTATTAGTGAGTCATCAAAGGCATCTGTCATTACTACTATTATAGTGTTTTTCATTTCTAGCATTTTTTATTCTATTTTAGAATTTCAATCTCTCTGCCTATATTATATATCTGTTTTTGTACATCATACATTTTCCACTAAAGCCTTGGTCATATTAGTTTTAAAAAAAATCCCTGATCTGGTAATTCCAACACTCTTGCCAGTTATGACTCTCATTCTAATGTTTGTTCAGTCTCTCCACACTGCATTTTTCTTTCAGTGTCTTACAGGTCTTTGTTAAAAGGCAGATGTGACAAGCTGGGTAAGGGAGCTGCGGCACCCATGCCTCAGTGCTGCCATGTTGGCTGTGCAATGAGGCATGCAGCACCATAAGCCTGTGCTCCAGGGCCCTCACAAGGTCAGGGAGAACAGAGTGCTGGGCTGGGAGCTTCCTTGCTCAGGTCAGGCAGGCTCTGGCAAGGCCATCTATCTAGAGAACAGCTTTGTGAGGAATAGTGCTCTGACATATTTCAGAAGTTTCTTTTCCCTTTCCCCTGCCAGAAGCATAGGGAGATTTCCCCCAATGTTCACTGTGGGATTCATCACACTTCTGGCGGTAAAAAAAAAAAAAAAAAAAAAAAAAAAAACCCTCAAATGTTTATGAGCCTCCATGACAGGTCTCCTGTCATTTTTATAGCTCAGACTTGTCCACACTGAGCTTTTGTCAATCTGTCCATTTCTCTTCAGGTTTCCTACCTGCACCATTTCCCCTGGAGGTTCCTGTTCACAAATCATGACTGTGTTGCCTATCCAATTTGGGTGCAGTGGTTTGCCCTGGGACCTCAACTCTGATTGATCCAAGAGTCACTGATTTTCCAGTTTGTTCAGTTCTTTACTTGTTAGAATCCCGCAGCAACTTCTAAGCTCCTTACATGTTGAGACAGCAAAAAGTCTATTTTTATTTTTTTTATTTTTTCATAAACTACATACAAATGGTTCCTCAACTGTTAGGTTTTCATTACTGTGATGAAATCCCTTAGATAGGTAAATGGAGGAGACACTTATTCTGGCCACAGTTTCAGAAGTCTTAGCCCATAGTCACTTGGCCTGTGCTCTGGGCCTGTGGCAGCAGTATGCATTGTGGCAGGAGCCTAGCATGGCAGCCTGTTCACTCTATGGCGGCCAGGCACAAAACAGATAGGATGGCGTGGGTCCCAGAGACTCTCCAGTGGCATTCTCCCACTGACCTTGCTTCTTCCCCCAAGCCCAACTTCCCAATGGCTCCTCAGTTTAGCCTTTTACACGTTGACCTTTGAGGGATAATGCAGATTCAAAGTACAGCACTAACTTCCCAGGGTTTTGCATAAGACTTTTTCAATCTTATGACAGCACAAAGTGATATATATTCAATAGAAACTATATTATTTTGAATTTTTAATCTTTTCTTGGGCACTATGATCTCTCTTGCAATGCTGGGCAGTGGCAGAAGTCACAACTCCCAGGCAGCCACAAGATCACAGGGCAACAACTGTACTCTCCAGTGTGCTGTGCTGCTAAGCTGGCATGTTTGGTAGGTTAGATGCACTAAGTGATTTCCAACTTATGATGGGCTCATCAGGACATAACTCTGCTGTTAATCATCTATGACGATTTAAAAAGAAAATTATAATATTGTCTCAAATGTACACAGATATATTACATATAACTTTACCATAAAGGAGGGAAGGGATGGTTGAGATTTATAATGAATTAGTACATGAAAGGCAAAAAAGAGAAATAAAAAAGGACCCTGTTTCAAATTAAAAAAAAAAAAGGGCTGGAGATGTGGTTCAGTGGTAGAGTGCTTGCTTGTCACACATAAGGCCCTGGGTTTGATCCCCATTATCTCTCTCTCTCTCTCTCACACACACACACACACACACAACGAGACATTAAATATTAATAGATTAAGCACTACAATTAAAAGATAAGAGGCTGGGGCTATAGCTTAGTGGTAGACTGCCTACCTAGCACAGGTGAGGCACTGTACTAAAAAAATAAAAATATAGGCATGTTATCCCTCTATGACAATAAAAAATTTTTAAAAAGGCTCAGTGGTACAGGGCTCGCCTGGCACGTGCAAGGTCCTGGGTTCAATCCTCAGCACCACATAAAAAATAAATAAATAAACAAATAAAACAAAGTTTAAAAAAAAATTTAAAAAGGACTGGGGATGTGGCTTGGGGGTTGGTTGAGTGCCTGAGTTCAATCCCCATTACCAAAAAAAAAAGAATAAGGCTAAGGCTAGAACTGCTATGACATATCAGATGAAATATAGTCAGAACCAAATATATTACCAGAGATGATAAGGGATCCTCTTATCCCTAAAAATGATGATTAGAAGTAAAAATAATACAAATAACACAGCTTCAAAGTACATGAACCAGACACTGAGAAAATTAAAGACAAGATAATTCCACAATCACATGTGGGTATTTTAACACCTTCTCTTAGTAACTAAAGAATAACTACACTGTTGGGTGTGGTGGTGTACGCCTGTAATCCCAGGGGCTCAAGAGGCTAAGGCAGGAGAATCAAGAGTTCAAGGCCAGGGCCAGGTTTGTAGCTCAGTGGTAGAGCAGTTGCCTAGCATGAGTGAGGCACTGGGTTTGATTCCCGGCACCACATAAAAATAAAATAAAGGTATTGTGTCCACATACAACTAAAAAAAATATTAAAGAGTTCAAGGCCAGCCTCAGCAAAATCGAGGTGCTAAGCAACTCAGTGAGACCCTGTCTCTAAAAAATACAAAATAGGGCTGGGGATGTGGCTCAATGGTTCAGTATCCTTGAGTTCAATCCCCAGTACCGCCCCCCAAAAAATAAATAAATAAATACATAAATAAAATAACTACACATAAAATGAGCAAAGGGCTGGGGGATATCTAAATAGTACCATGAAGCACCTTGACTTAATTGCTACTTGAACCTATCCCTTTTTTAAAAAAATTATCTTTAATTAATTAATTAATTAATTTTATATGTGGTGCTGAGGATAGAACCCAGCACCTCGAATGTGCTAGGCAAGTGCTCTTCCACTGAGCCCCAGCCGCAGCCCACTGAACCCACCCTTTTTACATGCACGCAGATACTTACTGAGAGAGATCCTAGAGTCATAAAACAAGAGCAAGCAAAAACGAGAAGAATGAAATTATACAAGAATAGGTTCCCTGACCCTGGTAGAATTAAATGACAAGTCAACAACAATAAGAAATAGAAAAGTACCAATTGTTTTGAAAAGTAACACACATCCAACTAATCATTGGGTCAAAGAAATCACAAAACATAATATCTTGGACTAAATGATGACAAAAATATAACATTAAAATTTTCCAAAATGGAACTACAGCCATGCTTTCAGTCTTATAACTCCACCTTTCTACAAAAAGAAGCATCACAAGTCAACAATTTTAGCACCCTCTGCCAGAAGCAAAAGGCTTCAAACAGGTGGTTTTGAATGTGCATAAATTTGGGGCATATTATTTACAAGAGTCTTTCTGAGTAACTGGAAGACAAGCTCCAGCCAACAGAGAAATGATGCAGAAATTTCTGGTAAAAGGTTCAACAATTAACTAAAAGGTAAAAAAAATATATACTTAACAGCAAAAAACAACAACATCAAAGGTGGGGCTAGTAGTAATAGTAAAGGGTAAAGGAATTACATGTTCTGACAGTGTAGAGCAATAAAATAACAAAAAAAAAAAAAAAAAAAGAGGAAGGAGGAGAAAAAGGTAGAAAGCATAACAAGCCTCAGTAGCTGATGAAAAAAGTAGAGAAGCTGGATCCAACAGAAAAAAGTACACATTTAAAAAAATATTATTGCTGGGCACGGTGGCTCATGCCTGTAATCCTAGTGGTTCAGGAGGCTGAGGCAGGAGGATTGTGAGTTCAAAGCCAGCCTCAGCAAAAGTGAGGCACTAAGCAACTCAGTGAGACCCTGTCTCTAAATAAAATACAAAATAGGATGGGGAGAGGCGGTTTGGTGGTTGCGTGCCCCTGGGTTCAATCCCCTGTACCAAAAAAAAAATAAAAAAATACTACTGACCCAGGAACTGTGACTTCACTCAGGAGCCGAAGCAGTAGAAAGCTTGAGTCCATAAATTCAAGACCAGCCCACAATACACTGATAGCGAGAGAGCAAAAGCATGTGCACATGAGGACACAGGTCTCAAGAAGGAAAGAGAGAGAATACTACTGACCAAACTGAGTTAGAGGAAAGAAAAGGTGAAGAAGAAAAGGACATGACAGGCAACCCATAGCTACTGTCAAAAGAAAGCCAGCAAGAAAGAGTATTATGTAAAGAAGAGAATGAAGGTGCCACAAAACGCATACAACGGGCACTGGGCACTGCATACATTTTCTAGAGTAAAGCAAATGGAGCAGTAAGGGAAGCCCTTGTAAACAAGGAGCACATGCCACATGTCTGTGGTGACTACATCTGCTCTTGGAGCGGTTGGACTAAGCACAACAACCCAACCGCCCTCACTGCTGCAGTGAGTGTAGAACTGGGAGGGGGGGTTCTTAGGGTTAGCCTCCTGCCCATTCTCACCTGTTCGGCAGTTTCTCAAGACCTCTGATTCTTCAGCCCCCAGAAGATCCATGACCCACAGCTCCTCGCCTTGCTCCAGCTGGGAGATCAGCTCTGGCTTAGGGACAGGGAATCCTGTTGAGGATGAAAACCTGGGTGAGCCTGTGCGGCCTCTGCCCACCAGGTCTCCCAAGCCAGGTGAGAAGTGCCTGCTTGCTGCCATGCTTGGTCAGAGAAAGCCAGGGGCTTAAGTGTTTTTTGTTTTGTTTTGTTTTAAGGAAGAATTCACCCTGTTCTCCTGGGGGCGGCAGGGAGGAACACCACCACTGGGCCACTGGCAAAGGGAGCGAAGTCCCTCGAATTGGGCAGCAAGGCTCTCTCACGGGCAGTGTTCTTTCAGCAGAGATCAGACTGGTACCCGGGGATGAGGGCGGGACCTTCTTCTTGGGATCCAAAAAGCCAAAGCAGCCCATGAGCCCCTTAGAGAGGCCCCCCCTCCCCCTGCCCCACCCCCGCTCCAGAAGCCAGAGGGAGTTCTCACCTAGGGAGGCCACGTTCCCATAGTTCTCCAGCATCACATCCCGGTACAGCGCCCGCTGCTGGGGCCCCAGCTGTTGCCCCTCCGCTGGGGAGAAGTACACTGCCACGTCCTGGAAAGTCAGCGGCATCGCGCCCGGGGACCGCACGGCGTGGTGCCTGGCGCGCTCCTGGAAGCGGATTCGCGGTCCGAGGGGCTGTGGAGCCAGGACCCGCTAAGCTCAGAGCCGCGACCCCTGCGGGAGGACGTGGGTCCACATTATCAACTCTTCGGCTTCCCCCACCTCAAGGCTCACAGGTCCGGAGACGGCTTCCGACTGCGGATGGCGGGGAGGAACGTCAAGTCTCCCGGCCGGACTCGGCTGCCATCCCCCGACGCGACCGCCATGGAATCCGAGAGAAAGCAGGGGGCGCCACGGTCTGCGGCCACCCAGCTCTCCCTCAGGAGACTTGGGCGTGTTCGGCAAGAACAGCGGAGACGCGACCAGAGGAAGGGGGCAGCCTGCATTCTCGCAGAGGCCTCCTGGGGCCTGTGTACCCTCTCCACACCCTAGGCCCGCTCCCGCCAGTGCGCAGGAGGGCCGGCGGGGCGGGCGCTGCAGCTCCGGCCGTCCAATCTCGGGCCTGAGGCTGGCGTGCCGCGCCCTGAGGCCTCCCGCTACCCCGGGCGGCGCGGTGCGGGCGAGCTTCGAGGGCCCAGCCCCAGCGTGGACTGACGCCCCGTCTCACCCCCGCCCGCAAGGCCTCGTACTCCCCGCAGCCTCCGCCCGCCTCTCGGGTGGTCGGTCGCGGGCGCGCGCCCGACAGGCTCTGAGAGCCGCCTGTGCCCCCTCCCCCAGTGTCCCCAGCATCACTAGAGCCCTCGGCCGGAACCTGCCTGCCGGCGCGTCCAGCAATCATCGAACTCGTTCGCTTAGTGCGTGGCTTCCCGTGTGACACCCTCACAGCCGCCGGCCCGGCCGCCGCCGGCTACCTGCACTGCGGGAGGAGCCACGAAGAGCCTCACCTCGGTGCCGGCTCACAGGAAGCGTCGGGTCCCAAGACCGAGCTCGGCAGCTAGCCGCAGCGTAGTGCGCCGACCAGCCGGAGACGGGGCGAGACGATCTAGCTGCGCATGCGCAGGCAGCCCTTCCCTGGACACCGAGAGCCGGAAACGGGATGAAGCCCAGCCCGGCTCATTTCCGGGGCTGGTCTAGGACTCCAAGGATCCCAGCCAACGGTGGTCCGCGGACTGCGGGAGGGGAACGGCAGTCCTGCCCCACCTGCGGCTTCAGCCCGCCCGGCTCCGCACTACAGGTGCTTCATCTCCGCAGTCTCCCGACAGTGTCAATAGGTTAGTTCAAAGTAGCACTTGGTAAAATGGAGGAGGCAGTACGGCGGGGTTACTGGGAAGTAAAAATAAGGTGAAGCTAAGGGATGACCTTGACGCCCCAAATTGGCTATGCACAACCTGGGGGTGTGCTGCGGCTCAGTGTGCAGCGCTGGCCTGGATTTTGGGGACCCATTCCCAGTGCTGCAAAAAATAAACCTTACAAAAAGACGGCAGGGCGGGAGCTGGGGTTGTGGTTCAGCGGTAGAGCGCTCGCCTAGCACGTGCGAGACCCTGGGTTCGACTCTTGGCACCATATAAAAATAGATAAAATAAAGGCATTGTGTTAATAACTAAAAATGTTTTTTTTTTTTTAAAAAGCGCACGATTCGGGAGGCTGATGCAGGAGGATTGCAAGTTAAGAATAGCTTAGCCAACTTAGACATGTCTTAAAATAAAAAAGGGTTGATTGGAGATATAGCTCATGGGTAGAGAGCTCTTACGCGGCAAGCACAAGGCTCTTGGTTCTATCCCCAGCACTGCAATAAACAAACTCTGAGGCCATGGTTATCCCTTCCCTAACGGTTCTGTAACTTATAAATCCACTTTGGTGTTAACGATATTAGTAATTAAAATTGGAACAGAATAATTTGTGATTACCACAGTCACACCATAAGTATCAGTAAATTAACGGTGATGAAAAAACTGATGTAGCCTGTGAATTTATTCAACAAATTCTGATATTGTGGAATTTACAAATATGAGCAGTCTGTGTTAATGGCATAGCTTGCTCACCACAACAACTTTCCAGCTTCCATGTTCTTTTATGCACTGTCCCATTTTAACAAGAACCCTGATAGGTCAGTTTCACCAGAAGTCCCCTTAAACTCAAGTTTTCTTATCCATCCACTCCCCCACCAGCTTCATGGCCTATATGTCCCCATGTGCCTGGGCTGCCATCTCCCCTCTGCCTTCTGAGGTGGTCCTGGGTAGTTGACCTTACAAAGCATTACATCCTGAATACAGTTTTCCTTAACAGTTTTTCTTCCTCCTTAAGAAGCAGACACGAAGACTAGTAAGTGAAGGGTCTTGACTCAGTTCTCTTCAGGGTACATCAAAGCCCCTCTGTGAGGTGGAACATGGTATTACCTGCTTCTCCAAGTCCTCTGCCTCTGCCCTTTCAGTGTGTGCCTAGAGCCCTGGCCAGTGGAGGTAAGGGCTGTAAGTTTGTTTTCGTGAAAAAGCTTGAAAAGATAAAGCAAGTGAAGCCGACGTGTTTGGGCTCATGTTAGAAGTCCAGAAGTGGTGTGCCTAGAATTCACTCTGACTGCTTTGCCTGGCACCTTTCTTTCTCTGTTCTTTTTGTTTTTGTTTTTTAGTACTGGGGATTGAACTTTACCACAGAGCCATGTGGACAGTTAGATAGACTCATAGCAGTGTCAAGATGCTTTACATGTGGGCAAAGGGACTTTTTTTTTCTTTCCAGTACTGGGTATTGAACCCAGGCACACTCCACCACTGAACTACATTCCCAGCCATTTTGATGCAGGGTCTCACTAGGTTGCCAGGCTGGCTTCAAACTTGGGATCCTCTGGCCTCAGTGCCACTGTACGGAGGGACTTAAGTAAAAAATTTTTGTCCCTACATTCCTGTTTTGTTTCCAAATGTATCATGAGTACATAGTCTCCAACACATCTAATAGTTGAGATCATAAGTATGTGACATAAAAAGCTCTGTCACTGGATAAGGTTGACATGGGCACTCTGCTTACTTGTGTACATCCTTTTTTGCGGGTCTGGATCTCCTTGTTCCCTTCAAGGTGGGCCAGTGGTCCTGGGGGACCCAGCAGAGGCTGAAGGACACAGGGGCATTCTGCACCCTTAGCTGAGCCAGGCCTGTGAATCCTCCAGCTCTAGAAACACAGCAGCCTCCCTGGCAGCCCTCTGTCCTCAAAAGGCAGCCTTTTCCTTTCCCTGTGGCCCACACCTAAGTTGCCACAGCTGTAGTTCTCACTCAAGAGAAAAAAAGGTGTTCACTGAGATGGCAGAAACCAAGCATTTTTCAAACAGCCTATGTGAGAACAGGCTGGCCCGGAACAGCAAAGTTTATTTGCTGTTCTCAGAAGTTCCTGCACTTAGGCCTGATTATCCTATGAGATGTTTGAACTGGTTTCTCAGCAGAGAACCAACCAGATGTAGACTAAAAAAGTGCAGGAAGCAGGGACCCCTCAAGCAGATAGTCTGACAGCCCTAAGACCCCTAGCCAGAGAATGGCTATTCTGAGGACTACAAAGCTGGCCATACACTGCCCCCCCCCCAACATAGCTACCCTGGAGGCACTCAGAAAGGCCCCCTACCCTATCCAGCAGCTCCACCTTACAACAGCACCCCTCATAGTGGACTCTCAACCTCCTCCCTGTTCCCCTACATACTACTCTAAACACAGAAACAGTATTATCCTTTTACTTATTTATTTTCATGGAACTGGGTAATGAACCCAGGGGCACTCTATCACTGAGCTACATCCCCATCCTTTTTATTTTTAATTTTGAGAAAAGGTCTCAAGTTGCTGAGGCTGGCCTTGAACTTGCAATCTTCCTGCCTCAGCCTCCCAAGTGCCTGGGATTACACACATTTACCACCACCCCTGGATAATGTTATCCTTTAAAATAATAGAAGTGTTATCCTTTTAAAACAACCACCAGAGTACATCCTTCCTCTGTTGAAAACCCTCAGGGACTCCCACTTTGGCTTAGACTTCAACCACAATACTTTGAGCAGAATTTCTCAGACCTGACCTGCGTACCCTCCCCAGCTTTACCTCCCTCCAATGACCTCCTCCTACTTGGTTGGAGGCACATGACATCCAATATACCTGGTCTCTCTCTACTCATCACCTGTGCACCAGCTGGTCCCCCAGTGGACTTCATTCCCCCAACTCCTGTCTTTCAAGTCTGCTCAGATACCATGTTCTCCAGGAAGCCCAGCCATGATACAGCTTATAGGGGCAGGCATGTCCTCACAGCCTATACCCCACCTTGCTCAAAACTAAGTACACATTTGTCACCCCTTGATAAGCTGTACCCACTGTTTACTATGCATTTTGTAATGTTTCCCCCGCTTCCCAACCCACAACGATATCAGCCCCACAAGGGCAGGGATTTAAGACAGACAAAAGTGCCCACACCAAAAACAGCATTTATGAAAGCAAACAAGAAAAAGGGCCCAGATGCTTAGTGGGGTCAGGCTGAGCAAAGGCATATTCAGAGGACCCTGATTTGGACCCCAGACTGTCACTTTACCACACTCAGAAGCAACAACAACAACAACAACAAAAAAAAAAAACCTGGGGAAGGGGTGACATGCAGTCTAGCATCCAACTAGAGGAAATGCAAGTTGCATTCTGGCACCAGCTGCAGTGCTGACAAGGGAGGCTCAGTCCTGCAGTCTGCGATCGCACCTCCTCTCCAGATCTGTCATCTCCTTCAGGACCAGCGCCACACTGTACCGCAGTTCCTGGAACTTGGCTGTGGGAACCTCGAAGCGATATGCTGACCCATCTGAAAGCTTCAGCTGCATCAAGATGCTTGGCTTCAGGGAGCGGGCCAGGGCACTGGTGGAAATTGCCACATCCACCCTCCACTTAAAGTCAGCAATGTGGGGAAGCCAGGAACCCTGCTGCTGGGCCACAGAGTCCAGGAGGGGGCGCTGACCACCAAAAACCACACTGGTCAAGTCCCCAACCAGGTCTTGGGGGATGCCGAGCTCCTGGAGTTGGTCCTTGAAGGCATCAGGCTTCAGGCTGGGAGAGGGAAGCCGGAGAGCCTGCTGGAGTAGTGTGTGTGTGCCAGCAAGTAGGGCACCTAGCTGCTCCTCTGGCAGGCTGGAACTGGCACCCAGGTGCTGCATGGCCTCTCGGCAGTCCTCTCCCTGCAAGCTGCTAACCACAAGCTTCAGCAACTTTCTGAATGTGCTCCTGTCCAGGTCTCCCAGAAACCGGGCCATTGCTGCCACCTCTGGAGGGACTTGGGGCCCCAGAAAACTGACCCGGCCACTGTGACTGTCAGCAGGATGATGCAGGTATGGAGCTGCAGTCCCTAAGGCAGACATCGCTGCTTCCTCCTCCTTGATCAGCCAGAGGGGAGGTCCCAGCCACAGCTCCCTGAAGGGAAGGGGGAGGGAAGGCCAGTGACTGCCACATCCTTAGGACCTTAAGGATCATGTGGACCCCACCATTAGGATGCTGATGGATTGAAGTACCAGTGACAGTAGGTGTGATGGGACTAGGGAAATGACCCCGTGAGCAGGTGGAAAAGAGGCCCACATGGGTCCTGATAAGAGGGGAGGCTTCTCAGAGGAAGTGACGTCTGAGATGAGCAGGAGTTGGTAGGGAAGTGGGTGAAAAGGAAGAGAAACAAGAAAAAAAAAAAAAAAAAAAAAAAGAGAGAGAGCGTATGTAAATCCTAAACTAACAGATACAAGATTATATTAGGAGAAATACCCGCAGGCACAGGACACGGCAGTTGGGACCCCTCACTACTCAACCCAGAATATTCACAACGTCCCTGCAAGACCTAATCATTTTCACCTCACAAAGGAAATCCAGCCTACAAATGCAGCTGCCCAAGCCAAAAACTAGAGTCTAAACCTGCCCACTAAGAAGGGCCGCGTTAGCACAGGGGCTACACTCAGCCTCCCCTGCAGGAGGACCAGGTAGAAGCAGTGCACCACGTAAAGAGGGCTGTGGCACTACCTGAAAAAACAGTGGTGACATCGTCGTCACTGGCGACGTGCCCACACATTTGCCCCAGGGGGAGTGCACGGTCCACCTCGACAAGCTGGGTAGAGGGAGCAGGGCGCTCCCTCACGAGTATTCAGAGGCCCCTGGGCTCTGACGTGCTGCCGCTGCCCAGGCCCGGCTCCCCTCTTCCGGATAAACGGCCCTTTCGCACCCCGCGGCCGTGTCCGCCCGGCGCTGAAGACAAACTCGTAGGGCCATCTCCCACACCGAGGGGCCGGGTCTCCGCTCGCGACGCCACCGCGGGGATGTCGCCCCAGTGCCCCCTCCCGCGCCCCCACGCCCCCGCACCTGGAGCCGTCCGCAGCAGCAAGCCAGAAGCTGGGCGCGGCCTCGGTGTGGCCCCAGACTCTCACGGGCCTCTCTAGGAAAGCGGAGCGCTCGGCTCTATGGTTCGCGACCCCGGGGCCGGGGACGGGGGCGCGAGACACTTCCGGGCCGCTCTAGCAAAGCGGAGGGCGGGACTCTATGGCCCGCCCAGCGGCGAAGTGGGTCGGAGCTGCAGGCTCGCTCTTTTCTGCCGCTCGGTGTCGGGAGAGGGAAGCCGGGCGAGCTGCTCGGCGCGGTTCTCCCGGGTCTCCGTGGCTCCCGCAGAGTCCACTTAAGGTGCTTGACTCTGGTATTCCGAAGTTCTGTAGTGTGGGGTTGTGCGCGCTGAACGGGTGACGCGCGGCGTGCGAGCCTGGGCCCGTAAAGCCTTCGAAAGAGGAGGGCGACGCCGCTGCACACCGAGGTGGAGCGCCGGGGCCGAGTGGAAGCGACTGAGCGAGCCTGCCTTCGACACGGGCCCCCCCACCGCCACCGCGGAGGTTCGCTGAGCGCTCCTGGGTCGTCTGGTGGGCGTAAGCCGGGCTGTCACGGGTTCTTTTATTCCCATCCTCTAGGCACACCCACTTCACACAGCGACATATAAATGGGCCACAGAAAGAAAGCAGCCGCAAGGTTACAGAATACTGAGCCAAGAGCACTGAGAGATGAATGCAAAGAGTCACTGGAACTGGTCAGGTAAGGATTTTAACGACCAGTTCCAGTCGGCAGAGCTGTCAAAGCAGAGGGTCCAGATAGGCGGCAGTTTCACGGTGTACGGTGTCAGCTCTAGGTGTGGGAGTGGGCCACGCGTTGTCATCACAGGCAGGGGAAGCTGCACTCTGCTGAAACCCAATGGGGACAGGAAATGGGAGGTTCCTCACGGTGGCAATTTTCCTGGGCCTGAACCTGTGATCCTCCTGCCTTAGCCTCTCAAATTGCTGGGATTACAGGTGTGCACCAGCATACTTGGCTAGACTCTTTGTTTTATTTTTAGACAGGTTCTCATTAAGTTGCCCAGGCTGGCCTTTAACTTGTGATCTTCCTGCCTCAGCCTCCTGAATAGCTAGGATTACAGGTGTGTGCCACCATACCTGTTAGTGAGTTTTAAATAAAAAAAAGGCTTTCAATTTCAATAATACTAATAAAAACAAAACAGGAAAGCCATACAGTGGAGGAAATATTCAGAGCACCGTGCCAAACAAAGGCCTGATACCCAGAATATATAAAGAACTTTTGCAAATCAATAATAAAAATTTTACTAGAATTACACACACACACAATAACTACATGAAAGATTATTGCCACTACTGGTAGTGTGGTAGTACAGATTAAAACCACAATGAGATATCATTTCACCCATTCAGCAGAGCTGAAATAGAACTGACTACACATATTTGGGAAAGTTTGTACAGTAATTGCATCAGCTATCTACTGTTTGTGGACGTGTAAACTAGACAACTAATTTGAAAAATTGCTTAGCAGTTTCTTTTAATTTAAGCATACAGGTTAGGGGATGCACTCCAGTGGCAGAGCACTTGCTTAGCATGCCCAAGGCCCTGGACTCATCCCCAGTACTGCAAAAACAACAGAAAAGTTTAAAGATACAGATACTCTAGGACCTAGAAATTGCAATCCTAGGTATTTTTTTTCTTTCTTTTCTTTTTTTTTTTTTTAATTTTAATTTGCAAAAAAATTGATTAATTTTTTTTTTTTTTTTTTTTTTTTAGTTGTTAGTGGACCTTTAGTTTATTTATTTATACATGCTGCTGAGAATCAAACCAAGTGCCTCACACATGCCAGGCAAGTGCGCTACCACTGAGCCACAGCTCCAGTCCCCAATCCTAGGTATTTCTCTATGAGAAACAAAAAGTTATAAACAAAAAGATTTTATAAAATATATGAATATTTCTAGGGCTGCTATAGCAGTGTTGGTGGCACAACAGAGATGGATTTAATGGTTCCAGGGCTAGAAGTCTGAGATTAAAGTGTTGGCAGGGATGTGTTCTCTCTGAAGCCTACAGGACTGTTCCCTGACTCTTCCCACCTCTGGAAGACCCCTGGCCTTACTTCAGTCTGCTCCTTCTCCATGTGGTACTTTCTCCTTTGAGTCTGTGTCCAAATTTTCCTTTTCTTGTATGCATACATGCCATGAGCAAGCTGTGCCACCAACAGAAACCAAAACCATTTGCATTTTTCCATAATGTCAGAATTTGTTGAATAACAATGAATTCACAAGCTACACCACTTTCAGTGGTGGCAATTCAACAATACTTGAGGGTCACCTGATAGTCATAACCCAGGCAAACTCAAGTTCTTTTATTCCATTCTAATCTAATTTATTTTTTTTTAATATTTTTTTTTTTAGTTATAGAGGGACATGATACATTTTAATCTGTTTATTTATTTATGTGTGTGGTGCTGAGGTTGAACTCAGTGACTCACACATGCTAGGCAAGCAGTCTATCACTGACCCACAGTCACAGCCCTCCCTTTATTTCATTTTTATGTGGTGCTAAAGATCGAACCCAGTGCCTCACTCGTGCTAGGTGAGCCCTGAACCACTGAGCTACAACCCCAGCCCCCCCAGTCTAATTTCTAATAACACTCAAATCACACATTATATTTCACACAATTATAACACACGCACACACATTTTTAAATATGTCACAGACTAAATCTGAAAGGGTCCAGGCACCACACAATTACAGGATGCTTTTAAGTACTTTTTAAGTTGTCAACGGATCTTTATTTATTTTTAATGGTGCTGAGAATTCAACCCAGTACCTCTTACCTGCCAAGCAAGCCCTCTACCACTGAGCCACAGCCACAGCCCTGGACTAAGGTTTTTATCCAACCAGTTCCCCAGAGTTGCCAAGGTTGAGGGTCTGACTGCAGTTTCAGTCTCAGTGTCAGTTGGGATGGTCTGGGCCTGGTTGTCACAGGCAGGAGAAAATGTGCTGTGTTGAAGCCCAAAGGAACCAGAACTGAAGCTCGCTGTAGGGATTTTCCTGGGCCAGATTTGTGACAAGTGACCAGGTGATGGGGTTAGTCTAGGGGTGGGGGGCTCCTCCATTTACAGATCTCAAGGGAGGGGATTGCGTCTGGTGAGATTGATAAGCTTCCACTTCAGTTTTCTGATATAGCTTGGGATGTCATGTGTCCAGGTGCCCCATGATAAGTTGATGCCAATAAATTATTTATCAATCTGTGCCTTAGGGCTGTGCTGGGCAGATGGTGGTTGTGCACTAGTACAAACAAGGTATAGAGTTGTTCCACCTGTCACTGCTCCTCAAAATGGAGCAGCTCATGGCAAACTACTGCTTTACAAAATGTAGTAATTCAGGGTTAGGCTTCATCTGAAACTGCTGCTCTGCATGTCATAGAGTGAGTCAGCTGGCACAGCCTGCCTCCACAACATCAGTCTCCAGACAGGGCCTGCCTGGCTCTGGCATTACCTCATCTTAACTTGGCAATATCTGCCAAGGCTATATTTCCAAATAGGACCATATTTATCGACAGGTTTCAGGGGAGTTAGAACTTCAGCATGCTTTTTTTCTTTTTTTTTAAATATTTATTTTTTGGTGTAGATGGACACAACACAATGCATTTTATTTTTATGTGGTGCTGAGGATCGAACCCGGGTCCCGCCCATGCTAGGTGAGTACTCTACCGCTGAGCCACAATCCCAGCCCTTCAACATGCTTTTGAAGGACACAATTCAACCCATAAGGAAGAACATTCATAGCAGCCTTGTTTATAACAGCAAAAAACCCCGCAGTATGACTGCATCGACTGGAAGGGATCCACACTGTGGCATGCCCCATAATAGACAGGACACACTGCTGGTCTCCAGAATGTGATGTGCAGTAGGCCTGGTTTTTAGCCTCATGAACCCAATTACATGAAGGACAGGACAAGTAAAACTGAGGGTGGTCATGTTACCAATTTCTGACCTACAGTGCTTCTTTCTCCCTCTCAGAATTGTGGAACCAGTAGCAAAACTGAGCAAACTTTGCAGTGAAAGAAATGTGGTTCTTTGGCCAGAGAATAGGAGATGCCAGGAAGAACAACTCTCAGGCCAGCTTCCCATCGAAACAAATGGAGATGTCCTTTTTTTTTTTTTTAAATATTTATTTATTTATTTTTAGTTTTCGGCAGACACAATATCTTTATTTGTATGTGGTGCTGAGGATTGAACCCGGGCCGCACGCATGCCAGGTGAGCATGCTACTGCTTGAGCCACATCCCCAGCCCCTGGAGATGTCCTTTTAAGAATAAGGGGAGAAAGGCACAGTTTTGGTACTGGAGGCGGAGGCTGATCCAGTGGAGGAGCGACTGGCAAGTCCAGGTGGCCTTGTGGCTTAAGTGGGTCTTTTCTGGTGCCCTGCTGCATCCTGTCAGGAAGCGCAGTGGAAGGCCACATGTCTGCATAGCTGGCTAGATGGGACTCTTGTCTGAACAGAATACCAGTTATCAAAAGGGGTTGTTCCTGAGGGATAGTTGACATCCTTCCTCACTTGCACATGTGTGAGACATGATTCCATCCCTCCACTCTCCTGGTCCATGGGGACATTCCTGCACTCAGTCCTAGCTCCTGACACACCTCCCCTGGGACTCTCAGGCTTCAGGCAAGCCTGGGATTGCTGGTCCCCCAACAATTAGCACGTGTTTATCAAGGGGAGGACGGAGGAACGAGGATGTGGAAAGCTGAGTTCCTGAGCAGTTGCCACGCAGACCAGGGGTTAGGTTCAACTCCACGTTACCTCAAAGGCCCAAGGGAGCCCAGTGTGGTGCCTGTGGTCCTAGCAATTCGCAAGGCTGAAGCAGGAGGATCGAAAGTTCAGGGCCATCCTGGGCAACTTATGAGGCCTTGTCTCGAAATAAAAAAATAAAAAGGGCTGGGGATGTCGTTCAGTGATTAAGTGTCCCTGGGTTCAATCCACAGTACCCAAATAATCAATCAATAAATAAAAAGGGCTGGGTGACGCCCCCAACCAGTGCAGGCAGCTGAACTTAAGATTGCTCATGTGAATTTGCAGGGACACCAAATAAAACACAGACAGAATTTACCTTGACACAAGCTTCAGGATGGCTTCCCTAGCTCTCGGCCTCAGGCTTTCCAAAAGGGAGAGCAAGAGAAAGTCATGAGAGGCTGACGAGAGAGAGGGAACATGTTCAGAAGTGAGCTTTTATGGGGGGTGGAGGGACTCTTGTTCTTAGAAAGTTCTATCTAAGAAAGGGCAGGACTACAAGAAACAGGTGAGTGTAACTCAACCTTAGGGCCACGCCCTACAAAAAAGACCTCCTTGCTATCCGAGCAGGTCTCGACCAGGCCACAGCATATGCAGTGGTTGGCCAGAGCCTGAGGCATCAGGACTGGAAGGTCATTCAGTGTGGCTCCCCACAGCTGGGGATGTAACTCAGTGGTAGAGCATTCAGGACAGGTTTGGGGCTGGGGGAAGAGAAGAGGAAGAAAAAGACAGCCGCACGAGGGACGGCTCAGCCATCACAGAGGGAGCTGTCAGTTCTCAGCCATTGAATTGGCCCAGGAGGAGTCCGGAGTGCTGAGACCTGTGTTTTACCCAGGACCACTAATGTCACCAAGGATTCACAGGGACCTGCACCCACAACCTGTGGGGTGGAGAGTACCCTATTTTGCCCAGGAGGAAACAGTTGTGTGATGAAGCTCAGGGACTGAATTGCTAGGTGAGGTATTTTATTTATTTTTTTTAAATATTTATTTTTTAGTTTTAGGTGGACACAATATCTTTATTTTGTTTTTATGTGGTGCTGAGAATCGAACACAGTGCCTCACGCATGCTAGGCGAGCGCGCTACCATTTGAGCCACATCCCCAGCCCTAGGTGAGGTATTTTAGAATGAATAACAAAGGACAGGAGAAGATGAGGTCACCCCAGACCAGTTTCAGCAATGGATTCTAGTTCATCCCACTTCAGGAAGTGAGAACATGGGGCCAGTGTTCCCGAGATGGGTTCCCTGCAGAGCACAGGGGGTGGACTGGGCTGTGTGGTCATGAGTGTGTCCCTTACCTGAGGGTGTAGGAGATGAAGGCAATAGAGTTCTCCAGTCTGCTGAGGCCGCCAGGGCTGCTCCCTGCCAAGGACTGAGCAGTCCACTTGGCGTTGCCAGCTGAGAGCCTAATAATCAGCCTCCAAGAACACTCACAGCAAACCTTCCCTCTGCCTTGCCTTAACTGTGGCCAAATGCGCCTTGATGGCCATCATGGCCTAACTAGTCTGTCCGATTGCTCCATTTTCTCACGTAGGCATCTCCCAGGAACATCCTCCCTTGTCTAATACATCTTGACATCAGCTTCCCAGAGTAGCTTGACTGACAACCACCAAGCTTCTCCTATCACTCTTTGTATCCATCTACTAGGGTGGAGCATCTCACTCCTGGGAACCCTTGAATTCCTACCAGGTGTTGTGACTGTACATCTCCCTGTTCACTGGTTCTGAAGGACCTCTCCAGATGGGACCCCACCACCATGGTTCTGACCCTCTTCCTTGGGGCCTCCCTAGAATAATGACCACATGTGTCTCTGGGCTAATGTTGTCAGGCTGCCTAGGTCTTGCTTCTATGTCCTGATGACCTCTGTGGAGCACAGGGCTGTGCTTCTGTCTCAGGGCCTCCCTGCTTGCTTCCTGCTTGGGACCAACAAGCAGTGCTTAGGTCTCCACTCTACAGGAGAAGGTTTATGCACATATCCTTGCACTTTCTTTTAAATCTCTCTTCCTGACATCTTACTCACGTGCTGTACATTTTGCAGCAAGATAGATATTGGTATGAAACAGCTGAGAACTTTAATAAAAGTCTACAAAATTTGGAGGTCCAAGCACATGTATCATCTTATGGGACATTTCCACAATCCCTCTTCACTATGAATTGTGCCTTCAAAACAATGTGTGGGCCAGGCATGGAGGTGTACACCAGGAATCCAGTAAGTCAGGAAGCTGGTCGGGAGGATCACAAGTTCAAGACCAACCTCTGCAACTTAGTAACGCCCTAAGCAGCTTAGTGAAATGCTGAATCAGAACATGAAAATAAAAAGGGTTGGGATGTAGCTCAGCACTAACCCCCCCCCTGAGTTCAATCCCCAATACCCCCGCCCCACAAAAAATGTGTGGGCCATACCTGGAGGCCATCTCACATCTGCCATGCAGGTTCAGTTCTTAACAGAATGAAATTTAGGGTGGTTAATACAGTTAGAAACATCACTGTATTTATCATAACACTGAGCAGCTTCTCTCTAGGTGAAAGGCCAGGTGCTGAGGGGCTCCATGTGAAGCTTTCAGATGCCCCAAAACTTCCTCCTCAGTATGGCTCTATGCTGGTGGGGGAGGAGTGAACTCTCACAAGGTTTAGCCACTCTGCAATTTGGGATTTCTCTGCAGTATGACTTCTCAGAGGTCTGTAATTTGGTTTTCCCACACGCTCACACCTGTGTGATGTGTCCCTTGTGTGAATCTTCTCATGCTGAGTTCTGAGCAGTCCCTGAGAGGTTGCCTTCTTCCCTCCCATGGGTGTTCTGTAACTCTGAGTAACTGAGAGTTGTTTTTTTTTTTTTTTTTTTAAGAGAGAGAGAGAGGGAGAGAATTTTCTAATATTTATTTTTTAGTTTTCGGCGGACACAACATCTTTGTTTGTATGTGGTGCTGAGGATCGAACCCGGGCCGCATGCATACCAGACGAGCGCGCTACTGCTTGAGCCACATCCCCAGCCCAAACTGAGTGCTTTTGGCTGGGCCTCTGCACGCTTTGCAGGGGAAGTGTTCCTCTGCAGTGTGAGTTGTCTGTTATCAAGTAAGACCTAAGCAGCTAGTGCTAGCCTACCCACCTGTTGCACTTTTGGGCTCTCTGCATGTGTGTCCACTGGCCTTGAGTACAGTGTGCCCTACAAGTGACAGGCTTCTCTGAGAAGGTCATTTATTCATAGGGCCCCTCCAATGTGAAGGGTGTGATAGGGATGGGTGGAGTTCTGGCCAGTGCACCTCCCAAATTTCTCGAATGGTGGGGACTCTCCCCAGTATGAATTTCATGATGGGGAATAAGATGTGAATTTTGAAATTGCCTTTACACTGTTCACATTTGTGAGGTGGCTCTCTTGTTTGAATTCTCCAAGAGCCACTAAGGTGTGACTTGATGGATGGTTTTTCCACTTCCTCTGTGTTCACGGGGTTTCCCTACAGTGTGAGTGAGCTGTGATTTCTGACTATAAGCTCCCCGTGTGCAGGGTGCCCACAGGCTCCTCTCCAGGAGTCACCTGGTGGTGGACAGAGTGGGAGCTTGCAGGAAGGTTATCAGTCATTGTGAGGATGGCCCTAGGCCTGAGCCTAAGCTACTCCATTTTTAAAACTCCAGTTTGAAACCTGCAGGCTCACCAGGCACACCCACAGAGCCCTCCAGTGTGGCCTCAGACAAGTCACTTCCCCTGACCCTGATCAACAGAGTGAAGCCCCTGGCAGGCTGTCCTCGCCTGATAAGAGGGAAGGGCGAGAAGATGGGGGGGGGGGGGAGACACCAGACCAGATGTTTCTGACCCCAGGGTAAATGACGTCACTGAGAAATCCAGTGGTAGCTGATAAGGATTGAAAGGGGGGTCAAAAGCCCCCAAATTTAATATAAATAATAGAGCTGATGAACGGGATTCACTATAGCTGGAGAGCCTGATGAGGACCTGACACCCCACTTGTCATCGTTCCTGATCCTCTGCGTGATCCTCACCGCTCTCAAACTCTACCGCCTCGTCTGGACCTTGGTGAGAGCCGCAACTTCTCTCTAGATGAAAGGCCAGGTGCTGAGGGGCTCCATGTGAAGCTTTCAGATGCCCCAAAACTTCCTCCTCAGTATGGGCCTATGCTGGTGGGTGAGGAGTGAACTCACACCATGAGTGAACTCACCCTCTTCTCAATTGGTTGTCCCCTCCACGCCAGGAAAAGCCTGCCTGGGTTCCGGACCTGGTCACCACAGTCTGAGTGGGTGGGCATCTGCTGGACATAAAGCCTAAGACTTAGGACTTTTGAACTTATCCTGCAGAGGGGATGTCTGTCGTTAGCCTGTCATGATCAGGTGTGTTTGCAGTACTTAGACTTAATCTAGAATTATTTGCTGTGGATTGATTATGTCTATTGCAGTGCCCAGCATTAAGGATTGTCATTTTCTTGATTAAGAACCTACAGAGTGAAATGGTATGGAGTGATTTGAGTGAATAAAGCATTGAAAGGGGCAGAAGCGCATGGACATTCTTTATGTCTTCCCTCAACTGCATACTTTGCAATTTTGCCCCCTTGTGGTTTTCTTCCACTGAGGATTCTTTTATGTTCCCTGATATTTGAACTGAGACTAAAATATCTTTCCCTGATCCCTGGCACTCTTGGGTTCTTTTCCTCTATGAATTTGCTGGTGTAGAGTAATACCTGGATTGTCTCTGAAGCTCTTCCACATCTGCCACAACTATGGGTCACTGTCACTTCTGTAGAACTTTTATGACTTAAAAAATCTTTTCGTTATACATGGACGTAATATCTCCATTTTATTTATTTTTTATTTTTAAAAAATATATGTTTTTTTCTCCTCGGCGGTGGCCCTCAGTCCCATGAGACTTACATATGTCAAGACGGCGCCCCCTGCCTTCGGTGCTGCAGTTTCTCTGTTCCGTAATCAATGTCATTCACAGGAGCTTCTTAAGTGACAAACGAAATGAGCCCAGGGCGTGGAAAATATGATTTCTATATTAGTTTGGGATTGGCTATGACCTCCAGCATTTTCATAGGAGGGAGTTTCATTTTGAAAAAAAAAAAAAGGCCTTCTGCGACTTGCCAGAAAAGGATCCGTGAGAGCAGGTCAAGGTGGCCATGCATATCTTAAAGAACGGTTGTGGTGGGCTGGACTACTGTCAATGGGGGCAGGCGAGGTGGCCAACTTCGCTGCATATGCCTTTGCACCAGCCACGCTAGTGACTCCACGGGAGCTCTCAGCGTCCTCGTAAGTGCCATTCTTTCTTCATACTTTCTAAATGAAAGACTTGATCTTCATGGGAAAATTGGATGTTTGCTAAGCATTCTAGGATCTACAGTTATGGTCATCCATGCTCCAAAGGAAGAGGAGATTGAGACGTTACATGAAATGTCACACAAGTTAGGTGATCCAGGTTTTGTGGTATTTGCAACAATTGTGGTCATTGTGTCTTTGATATTAATCTTTGTGGTGGGACCTCGCCATGGACAGACAAATATTCTTGTGTACATAACAATCTGCTCTGTGATTGGAGCATTTTCAGTGTCCTGTGCAAAGGGCTTGGGCATCACCATCAAAGAACTGTTAGCTGGAAAGCCTGTGGTGCGGCATCCCCTGGCCTGGGTTCTGCCTCTGAGCCTCCTCATCTGTGTGAGCACACAGATCAATTACCTAAACCGGGCCCTGGACATATTCAACACTTCCCTTGTAACACCAATATATTACGTTTTCTTTACAAGTTATTCTTTTTAAGGAGTGGCAAGATATGCCTGCTGATGATATCATTGGGACTCTGAGTGGCTTCTTCACAATCATTGTGGGGATATTCTTGTTGCATGCCTTTAAAGATGTCAGCTTTAGTCTAGCAAGTCTGCCTGTGTCTTTTCGAAAAGATGATAAAGCAATGAATGGCAATCTCCCTACTATGTATGAAGTTCTTAATAATAATGAAGAAAGCTTAACCTGTGGAATTGAACAACACACTGGTGAGAATATCTCACGGAGAAATGGAAATCTGACAGGTTTTTAAGGTGCGATTTAAAGGTTAAATTATGTTATAGTGATTTTGAATATCAGAATCTGTCTGAAAAAGCATTGTCCTCAAATAATGTTCTCTAAAGACAATCTTTTTTAAGTTTTCACTAATTTGGACCAAGAAGTTACTTTTCTTATATTTAAACAATGGTAGCTCACTAAAAATGGCCTCAGTATGTGGCCAATTTCTATTAACATTGTATAATTGTAGAGGTATTTTACATTTTGATTCTTTCTTCAAAATCTAAATGCACTAATGACAAGTTTTAAGTCTATAAAAATGCTTTATTTTTTCACTATTGATGAAAGTCTGAAATGTACATTTGTCATTCCCACTCCAATCAATCCCTGATCATGTAAGGCTTTTTGATTGTAAACAAGAACAAAACTATCCCAATACATTATCCTCTGATTTATCTTACCTATAAAAAAATAAATAAAAAATATATTTTTAGTTGTTAATGGACCTCTATTTATATGTGGTGCTGAGAATTGAACCCAGTGCCTCACACATGCTAGGCAAGCACTCTGCCACTGAGCCACAACCCAGCCCTCCATTTAGTTTATTTATTTTTATGTGGTGCTGAAAATTAAACACCAGAGCCTCACATGTGTGAGGCAAGTGCTCTGCCACTGAGCCCCAGCCCCAGCCCCAAACTTTTGTGACATTTTAGGGGATAAGTTTTGACTGAAGTTTCTTCCAAATTCATTAAATTGCAGGTCATTCTTCCAGGGAGCATTTCCTCATGGGATATGGCCACTGTTCTGAAGCCTTTCTCCCAGGCAGGGCCTTCTTGATGCATTCCTGGAAGGTGCTCCAGCACCTCCTTGCTTCTGCCCTCCTCTGGCCTCAGCAAGAAATCCCAAAGGAGTGCTTCTGATGCTCCGCCTGTGGCTGTCAGAAGACTCTGCTTCTTGAAAAGGTCCTTCCTTCTTGATCCCAGTTGATCTTCATTGAGGAATCTGAAAGGGAAACATCAGGAACGAAAGATCCCATTCACCGTGGGGCCCTGGATTTACAATGATGTCAAGGAGCCACAAGTGAGCACCAGGGGGACAGGGGAGGAGTGACCTAAGGAAGAGACCTGTTGGGAAGGACAAGGCACACCCAAAGATCTCAGAATTACAGGTCAGCAAGGCAGGGGAGCTAGGAGAGGAGCCTGAAAGTAACTGCGAGAAGTGTGAGAAGATCACCAACTAACCCACCAAGTGACTCAAGACACACCCTCCCTCTGCAGCTGATGGGCCAGAACAGCCGCCCACACCACCGTTGGGTTGTCCCCAGCCATGGCCAAAGCTCTCCCTGCCTCAGCCCAACCCTCGAAGGTATGATGCTGGCTTCCCTCTGTCCCCTCCCTGGCGCCCTGGAATTCTTCCTTCCCATGTTCTTCCCACAGTCTGTTCTTGCAAGTGTTGCCTCTGAATGTTACCAACGACTGCCTTCCCCAGAGCCTGCTCTTCCTGCACACCTGGTCAGGACCCTCTCTGTGTCCACAGCCTCAGCCTGGCCTTCTCTTCTATCCAGCTGGGACACAGTCAGGTGTGAGGCCAGGAAGCTCTGCTGGTGGAGGAGGAAAGAGCTGTGTACGCCTGCTGAGAACCAAGTCCAGGTCTGCCGGGTCCAGAGAGGGAGAGGTATAGGCTTGGCCAGATGAGGTGGGAGGCTCCTGGGCAAGGAAGGGTGCAGTGTCATATCCTGAGGGGAGGAGGGAGTGGAGGTGTGCGTGGGGTTGAGAGCAGGGCTCACCCCACCAGATCAAACTCCCCAGTTCTCCAGCATCACACACTTGTAGATTCCTTCTGGTGAAGATCTGGATGCTTTCATTCCTTCTGTAAAATGCACAGCCACAGCCACAGGTGTCACTGACCCCGAGACAGAATCCTCTGCTGCCCAAGGACCTTGCTGATCAAGGGTCCCAGAGCTGTCTGTGCATCCACTTGGGATGGGTGTAGAGGGAGTTCTTTCCAGCTGTGGAAGAGTCTGTTCCAGGAAGGAGATTCAGAAGGTACTGAAGGAAGGAGACTGAGTCCCTGCAGTCCCCATGTGGCAGCCCCTCTACAGGTGGGAGGAGCTCCTCTGGTGACACTGTCAGAGGCAGGAATAGGTTTACTGATGAAATCCTGGAGGTAACATTAAAAGGCACTGCTAGAAGTCAATTTTTTTTTTTTTTGGGGCAGAGCTGGGGATTGATCCCAGGGCGTAGTGTATGTGAGGCAAACACTCTACCAACTGACTTATACCCCCAGCCCTAGAGGTCAATTTTAAAACAAAATAAAACCACCTCCTCATTACTTACCAAGAAAAAACCCTATGGAATTAGTTCTTCAAGAATTGACTGATGGGGACAGTTTCAAGATTTCAGACCAGAGGGAGGTAGCATTCTGCTGCTCTGTGATACAGATCTCACCTAATCAGAATACGGCATCTCTGAGAGTGTTAGAGGACCTATACAGCTACTCTCTGCAGAAATCACCATACAGGGCTCTGGGCCTCAGTGTTCAAGAAGGACCCAAAGCCCAAAGTTCCAGTTCACGCAAGACTCAGTGAGCACTTTAGCAGAATTACCTGTCAACACATCTGCAGATCGCCAAGACTTCAATCTGCTCCCACGCAGGTCACCAGCTGCTACCTACCCACAGCACAACGCCATCGCCTGGCTCCTCCAACCTCACCAAACACCCGGGTGCTGAAAGCAGACAACCACCATCTTGGCTAAACATTCTCACCATATTAGGTGGGGGCAGTTACAAGACCGGATCTCCAGGGGCCAGTGGATTTTCGCAGAAATAACCAGCACTGCGACCACACACGCAGAAATCAGAGCCTCTGGGCAGGAGTAAGTCTCTGGACTTCGGACCCAAAGCTCTCAGTTCTAGCTCATGCATGGCTCACAAGTGGCTTAGCAGAAACACCTATCAGCACCTCTGTAGAACTCCAGACTGCGCGCTGCTCCCACGCAGGTCACTTGGCTGCTACCTATCCACAGCATAAGGCCATCATCCAGCTTCCCCCACATCACCAGACACCCTGGCACTGGAAGCATACTGACTCCATCTTGGAAAACCTTCCTTGCCATTGTGTGGTGGGTGTGGATCTCAGATCGGATTGCCATTTGAGCAGGTACCTGATTTCCAATTCCTCCCCCTCCCCAACAGCGTTAACTCAGACAGTGACCACCCAACACAAAAACAGCTCTCAGTTGGACAGAAGTACAGTCCGAACAGGGCGCTGCCCACCTGGAGTGAGCCTGGGGGTGTGAAGTCCCACAGTTGGGACCTGATAAATAAGAGAGAGGAGGGGACTGAAGCCTGGAGCATAATAGAGAGATTAGGATTTGGGAAATCTCCAGGTAACAGAGGAAGAGATACCAGAGGCTTAAATCAGTCAAGTAGTTACAAAAAAAAAAAAAGACCCGTGAGGTGCTATTTCCCTGCTGGGGACTGGTGGCTAGCACTCCCCACTTCCAGATGCTCCACACCAGGTCTAGTCTTCAGACCCTGGTTACCTACACCATCCTGAGGGCTGAGACACCCACTGGATGAGACAACCCCACTTACTGGATGAGAATAGAAAGAAACGGATCTCTAAGAGTTTTTTTTTTTTTTTTCCCTCCTCTTCTTTCTCTTTTACCCTTCTATACTCTGGCCCTCACATCCCCAACATATGTAAAACCAAGAACGTTGCATGAAATAGGATTTTGAGGACTGAGTCACCTGAATAATATAATATAGAGGAATTGCATATGCCCCTTTTCCCTCTTTTTTTCTTTGCTCTTTTTTCTTTCTTTCCTTTTTTCTCTTTCTTCTTCCTTCACCCTCAAAATTATACTATTTTAACATCCTGTATTTCCCTAAAAACATATTTGTGTTTGTTTTGTGTACTCTACTGTCTTCCCACGTAATTGTCTACCCCAAGTTACCTTCTATCTATTCTCCTGCTACTAACCCTCTTCATTAGATTTCTCCTTCACATTTCCTAAGATATATTAACTATATACCCTCATATCTTCTCCCCTCAACATATCATCCTGTGCCTGAACCCCAGTTCATTGTCCACCACCAGAAACTGTAAACCTTTTTATGAAACTACTGATTATATTTTAAATAATAATTGAATCCAACATTTCTGGACATTGAGGCTAAACTGTAAATGTCTTAATAACAACAATTTGTTTAAAGGTGATGTATTGTTGATATTGGGATCTGTTAACATTGTCCTTCCCCACAAAGGAGAGATCTTGGAACCCTACAAGAGCACTACAAATCTATAGAGTAAAAACAATAACACACCAGATCCACAGAACTGGAAAGGAAGACACATGAACAATATGAAAAGATAAGGGAAGAAAGTGCCACAAACAAATCAAGACAACACATCTTTAGAAGAATTGGCAGCTACAGCAGAAAAAACTACAGAGAAAGATTTCAGGATATACATGGTTAAAATGTTTTGGGATCTCAAAGAAGACATAAGAGAACAAATACAGGCAGTGAAAGATCACTTTGACAATGAGCTACATAAACAAATTCAAGAAGCAAAAGATCACCTCAACAGGACAATAGAGTTTATACAAAAAACCAAACAGAAATCCTTGAAATTAAAGAATAATAAACCACATTAAAAACTCAAATGAAAGCATCACAAACAGAGTAGACCACCTAGAACATAGGACATCAGACAATGAAGTTCAAATAAATCATCTTGAAAAGAACATAGACCACACGGCAAAAATGATAAGAAACTATGAACAGAACATTCAAGAAATATGGAATAGCATAAAAAGACCTAATTTAAGAGTTATTGGGATAGAGGCAGGCATAGAGGTCCAAACAAAAGGAATGAATAATCTGTTCAATGAAATAATATCAGAAAACTTTCCAAACATGAAGAATGAATTGGAAATCCAAATTCAAGAAGCCTACAGGATGCCAAATGTACAAAATCACAACAGACACACACCAAGGCACATTATAGTGAAAATGCTCAACATACAGAATAATGTGGGAAGCCATCCTGACACGTGACTGGGCGACTCCCGTTAAGGGTCTGAGGCTTCTGGCTGTGTCGGAATATTCCCGGCCCTTTCCTGATGAGAGAACCCGTCCGTGTGGGGGTGTGACTGACCACTGACCCCGGGGGCCCAA